ACACTCTGTATTTAAGGTCAGCAGAAGTCTACCACACCCAATTTAGGCAGGGCTGCCAAATGCCAAAAGTTGTTTCTGGTCATTTTTGCTTATGTGTTAGGCATGATACAAACTGTTTAGGGCTCAAATGGAACAGAAAGACAGAAGAGAGAGAACACTCTGTATAAGCTTGAACATTTGCCTTTCATGTCCTGATACATCATTCATTGCCTCTGGCCCGTCGGTCTTCAGATTTGAACTGAAGTATACCATCTGTTTTTAGTGCTTTCTAGGGTGCAGTATGCATGTTTTGAGACTTCGGGCTCACTGTAATCCTATGACACACTACATATGATAAATCTCTTCATATGTTGTGGTTTCTTACATGTCTTTAAGTGAATAGAAAATTTTCAGCTCCCTCTAGTCACATGAGACTATATGCAATCTTGTATGCAACCCTTAATAATCCTGTGTGCTTTATGAGACTATATTATCATGCTCTGAAATTCAGATAACTGGAACTGCTACAGTACCCAGTACAGAGTGGGCTTGTATCTGTTTTTTATGTTCTGTTGGTCTGTTCCTCTGGTGAACCCTGCCTAGTACATTGACTGAGTGAACGACCATTTGGAATCACAAGATACATATTTTTGTTAGTGCATGCCCTATACTGAGATTTATTAGAAAATTATTTACACCAAGCAATTTAAAGAGGTGTTCAAAATGCTAAGAAATTCTTAGTCTCTTCTTCTCATATCAACTTTTATAATTAAATATATTTTTGAGGTTTTTATCAGTGACTTGATTTTCATTTAACAAATGTTTATTGAATGTCACCATATGCAAGGTGCTCCAGCAGTCAGATAGAGAACTCAAACATCCATGCCCTCAATGTCTTTTACATTAGTGGGAAATATTCAGAATATTTATAATAATTATATATAATAATAGAAATAAATATTCAGAATATAGTATGTTTTGGATAATGATAAAACAACCAATGAGAAGTAGTTGTATTTCAGATACAATGGCCTGAGATGGGCTAAATAATGTCTTGTAAGCAAAGCTTGAAGAAATGAAAGACCTCTGCTTAGGAGAGCTCCAGCAATACTACATGATAACGATGATAATGATTATGATGATGGTTAGAGGAGGATGCTGGAATACTAAATCTATAAATTGTTCTCATTATTCAGGTAGGGTAACATATGGGGATTTTGAGGAACCTATGGCATGAAATGATTCAGATCTCACCATAATAACACAGTCAATTGAGTATATACGGCAAGGGCAATGGAAGAAGCAGAAGTCAGTTACATTTCTATTGTAAATCTAAGTAAAAGACGATGATAGTTTAGAATAGGCAATGTCAATAGAACTTTTGAGACATTGTTAACTATTCTATATAATGTAAAGTTGCAGACAAGACTTTCTGACACATCCACATACATCGTAAGAGAAAAGAAAATGACACAAGAATGAAATCACCATTGGCTATGATGGAGAAGATCACAGAAGAAATTTTAGAGGGATTCTTGGAAGTATGTCCTAAAAAAATAAAAGCAAAAAAAATTGATTTATCTTGTTTCATGTGTATGAGTGTTTTTGCCTGGATGCATGTATGCCTATGGCTATTATATTCTCTGGAACTGGAGTTATGGGTGGTTGTCAGCTTCCACCGTGCTGGGAACCAAACCTAAGTAACAGCAACAAGTGCTTGTAACCAAAGATCCATCTCTCTAGACCCTCTGAAAGTCATTACAGATGTTAATTTTGAGATGCATTTTAAAGCAAGAGGAAGTGTAAGTGACCATTGAGACCCTCAAGAGTTTCATACTGGAGATGTAAACTTGAACATCATTGACATTCAGGTGGCCTACATGGACTCATCAGAGAAGTGTCTTCTGCTAATCATGTGTATGTGTGTATTTCATCAGAGAAGCAGAGCTAATATATAATGGGATAAATATTTAATCCATGGATTGGACTTTAGGCAATTGTGGGACTGGAAGATGCATATGGAGGGAGGACGAAGGACTGTCCATGGAGGTTAGCTGAGACCAAACTGATAGCTTAGACCCCAGCAGATGCTGTGCACTTACATCTGTCTCTTTTCACCTCCAGCTTCAATGATGCAAGTGATGCATTCAGAAGGCCATGGCACAACTCACAATGGTGCTCACCCAAACAGGTTAGGGGAGATCATGCAGGATCCAGAGGACCTTGGCCAGCAGGGTGATCTACAGCAAGGATTCCAGCTGAAACAGCATCTGGTTCTCTGCACTGAACTTCGATGGAATGAAGTAGCTGTACCGAGTCTTTCTTCCAAATCCCTGAAGACTTCTGACCAGCCCTAAGGCAAAATCATTCTAAAAAATACTTAGCTAGATCAATGTAGTGGAAATCCATTGCAGTGCAGAATTTACCAAAATGAAAGGAGAACCAAGAGTTAACGGTTTGAGTGTGTATTTCTGGACTGTGATTTCCACGAGTGTTCATGTGTCCTTTGCATTGCACTTCACATTGCATTCCAATCATCTTCATAACGATTTCAATGGCAACATTTTAGAAAATTTGTTTTTTTAATACTAGTGCTTTGAAAGGTTTTCTTTCTTTCGTTTTCTCTCTTTTGTTTTGTTTTCTTAAGACAGGGTCTCACTATGCACCCTTGGCTGGTCTAGAACTCACTATATAGACCTCAAACTCAGAGATCGTCATGTCTCTGCCTTCTGAGTCCTGGGATTAAAGTCACTCACCACTATGCCTGGTTCTCCTACAATTTGTTTTTATCATATTAACACCACCAACTCTTCTGCAATTCACAATTCCCCTTCCCTTCCCACCTAAGTATGTACCACTTTTGTTTGTTTCAATCCTTCAAGACCAATTTGCGTTGCCCACGTATTCTTTGGTGCCATCTTTACTGGAGACTGTTGACTTACCAGGGGCTCCACTCTTAGATAACATGTGCCTTCCTCTCCCATCAGTTAACATCTGCCACTATCTGTACAGCTTGGAGCAGGATTTTATTCGCAATCCCTGTCTCCTTACAACAATTTAGTTTAAGTTGTGCTTCCACAAGTTTTGAGCATGCTGCTGCAACAGCTGTAAGATTGTATCTGCAGCTGTCCTGTTGTCCAGAACATAATATTCCCCATAGTATTCACCACTGTAGGCTCTCCCATTCCCTCCACTCCCTCTTCCTCAGTGATTGTTGCATTATATGCATTCTCTTTGTAGGACTGAGCATTCTTCAGTTTCTTATTCTCTGCACATTGGTCAATTGTAAGAAACTTTTTTTTTCTTTTTTGCTGTCCTTAGTGTTGGACTTACTTAGCACACTTAACAGCAAATTTGTTGCATGGCTAATGTCCCTCCAAGTTAGATTTTCCTGATGTTCTCTATGAAGACGAAGATACTTTTGGCTATTAACCAACATAGCAGTGGTTAGAGAGCAAAAGGAGTAATACAGATTGAGTAATACCCAATTGAGTTGTTTCACTGATAGCTGCAATTCTCATTTTTAAGTCACTCAGGGGAAAAAAAAATAACCTATAACAAATCAGCAGGGACAAAAGACCATCAATGGTTTAAAGAAAAAACAAGTGTTTCGGATAAAAGTAGATAATAATACACCCCTAGAACACACAAATTGTGAAAAAATAAAGAGTGAATCCACAATGACAGGACTACTCCTCCGCCCTAATCCAGTGCTTCTGAAATATAACGACAAGCAAGTCTTTCCTGAGCTCACTTTTGACTTCTAGTCCTCAGTGTTTTGCATATTCATCTCCACTTTAAATGTATATAGAGCTTGTGCAGATAATGATTTTACTCAGGTGATTAGTAATATTATATTAATAGTCAACCTAAGGAAAGATTTTCTCAATCCGTAACATCATCACAGGGCTCCTTTAAAGGCGGAGTTTTCTCTCATTGGTGGAATAAGAGGAAGTTAAAGATGTGTATTGTGGAGATTTGGGGATTCTCTTGCTAGCTGAGGAGTAATGTATTTGGGAAACCAAGATCTCAGTTTGTGGACCACAAGGAGTATTCTGTCAGGAGAATAAGCTTGGATGTGGCTGTGTACCTCAGAGAGTCAGCACTGAGAACCTGCATATACCAAACTCTGCTTTCATGCCTGTGATTCTGCATGGTGGTGTGGACAGGCCTAACTAGATTTCCAACTTACAAAACTGTGATCCAATCAGTCATTATTACTGTAGAGAACTATGTGTATTTGTGGGAGATGCACAGTGACAAAGGGGTATGATTATAGAGCTAGGAGATCACACACATTTGGTTGAGGTCTTCACAAAATTTTCACTGAAGTTCAAGAGGGGGAATCCTAAGCCTTAGCGCTCCCATTTTTCGCACCACAGTGTAAGAAGTGTGTGATATGAGGAATAAGTGACAGCTGTATTTGCAGCATGTGATTTAGTGACAAACTCCTATCCCAATGTACAGTGAAGGTTTTCTTTTTATTCTTTTAATCATATAAATGCCTGTGTTTCTGAGTGTGGGTGTATGTCCTGAGTACAAGTACACACAGAGGTTAGAAGAAGATCCTCTGACGCTGAGGTTGCATATGGCAGTTTTGAGCTGCCTGACATGGGTGCCAGAAACCCAGTTCTGTTCCTCTGTAAGAGGAGTATGTACTCTTTACAGCTGAAGCATCTTTCCAGTCCCAATCTTGTTTTTAATAATGTTAATGTTTGGAGTAAAGTTGGAAGCAGTGTACTAGAAAGAAAGCATTGTTGCACTGGCTAGGTTAGGAACCTCAATCTGTTTGAATATAAAATGCAAATGTGTGCAATAAATTCCATAGTAACAAATGTCAAGAATATTGACTAACTGTAAAATGAACCTGGATTTCTAGAAATACTCATATTTTAAAAATGGAGGTGAAATCTTTTTTTAATATAAGCATGCTATTTCAACTTCGGCTAATATGCCAACAATTTGGAACACATACTTTACTGCTGTTCTTGCACACTTATCCAATGTGTGTTGCACAAACGGTTACATGTCATGTTCTGTCCATTCGTTTTGTTGGATATGGAAAAGCTAAGAACTAGAATATTCTTGTCCTTTAAAATATAAAAGGGAGGCAAAGTTTTTGTTACAGAATTAAAGATCTTATTTGGCTTTATATTTTTCAGGGAATTATTATCTTTATTTATATAAAATACCATTAAATAAATGTAAAGAAATAACATTTATCCTCAGCAGAACACATTGACTATATAAAATATGAAAATTTCCTTTCTTCATCTTCTGTACTTGAAAGATTAGAAAATAATTGACCCTCATTAAAGAGTGAAACAGACCTAAGAAAAACACATGTTGTAAAGGCAAATGCATTCATTATGAACACCAAAATTCTGATGAAATAGTGCATAGATTAGGAAAATTAAAATGGTTATATTTCATATAATTTTATAAATCTAGGTTTAACAATATATTTTCTTTAAATGACAAAAACTGGGAAATGCATTTTCACATTTTAATTACAATTCACATGTCTGTACCTCCTGCTGTGATGTTTTGTTCAAAAGAAATCTTATTTGTGAAGCTGCCAGTATAGAAACTGACAGATGGTAAAACCAGTTTTCAGCTTTCCATAGTATTGGTTTCAGGTGGCTTAGACTATTTTATTAGTGCTGTTTTCCTGTCATACATTTAAGCAAAATAAATGCATTCTCATTGAAGTTTTACTGTTGCTACTGTGTTAAATATATCTATTCATATGTTTATTTTTAGTTTCAACTTTTAGCAAGATACTTTTCTTAGGAATGATTTAGCTGATGCTTTATGATGTATCAAGACTATCTGTTTGCATGAAATGTGTATTATCACATAAGTGCTAGGACAACACAGAGAAGAAAACTCAAAGTCCACTTTGTTGGATATGACTCATAGATAATATTAACAAATTAACTCATTAATCTAATAGATTTAAAAATATAGTGTTTAGACACTATACATTATTCAAATACATTATTGGACAAAATACATTATTCAAACACGGTAATTACATCAGGAGGAGGCAAAGAATCCTGAAGTTAGTTTCTCAAATACCTCATCAGCAAAACTGAAAATCAGAAACAAATATAAAGAAATAACACAAGCAGTTTCTAGTGATGAATCTGTTTGTATGGATTCTTCAAATACAACAAATAATATCTGAAAACAATTCAGAGACTTGCACTCAAATGATAGTAGTGTTTTTAGCTTTCCCACCTTAACTATTTCAGCTCCCTAAACTGGTACCCTCTCCTGCAAACTCAAGATCAACTCTTTGCTGGGTTGGAGACACCCACAGTGTCTTCTACTTCCTAGCCTCTTCTTCTGGCATGCTTAGAATCCTGTGTAATAGTGGCAGGTGGGAGCCCAGGTGCAAGGGAAGTTTTGTTCCCCAGCCTGCCTGACAGGGTGAATCCTGGGTGTTGATGGCTAGGACAGCAAAGACAACCCACATGGTGTTTAATGTGCATATCTGAGTTCAGTTTCTGTCTAGCTTTCTTTATGAATAGACCCTGCTGTTGTGTTAATCTCTTTTCCTACCTCTCAGCTTCCCTCCTTTCCCCTCCCCGAGACCCCCCTCTCCCTGTCTCTTCACGCACGCACATACACACACACACACACACACACACACACACACACACACACACGAGAGAGAGAGAGAGCGAGAGAGAGAGAGAGAATTTACTAAGTAATAGTTACCACTGCTATGCTCATGAAAACTATTTTTTCTTGTCTACTATTCATTATTATCTGGCTGATTATTCCAATTAATGTGCTTTCACATTAAGATTGCAGTTTTGATGCTCTCTGGGCCCAGAACTGCAGCTCAGTCCATCCCATGCTTTATCCATTCACGTCTGGAACCAATTTCTGTTCCAGCCTCGCTTTACATGAATTGCTGCTGTTCTCCCCAGGTATCCACAGGCAGCTTTCATGGGACAGCAGTCATCCTAAAGAACAATACCTAGGAAAGAAAAGAGCTGCAAAAATTAGTTCAGTTTTGTGTATACGTGTATATATGTGCATGTGGGGGCCAGAGGTGAATGCCAGGTGTCTTTCTCACTGGCTTTCCACCATATTTCTTGAGACAGTGTAACCTCAATGAACCTGGAGCTCGAAGACTTCCCTAGACAGTCTGGCCAGCAAAACCTAAGATTCTTCTGTCTCTCCCTCTCCAGCACTAGAATTACAGGTGTGCATGGCTGTCTGTGCCTGCCTTTTGTGTGAATGCTGGAGACCAGATTCAGGTTCCCATGTTAGGCAGCAAGCACTTGGCTACTGATCCATATCACCAGTTCATTTTTAAAATGTTTATCCACATTGCTTTGCAAATATTTTAAGATTAATTCAGTTTCTCAATTATTTCACGACTGGTAATGGAGTTAGAAAGAAAAAAAGAGATCTCTATTATCTTTTCTCAGCCCTACTTTTAGATTTTGGTGGTGATACTTAGGAATGCCCAAATTGGCACATCACTATGGTGGGAACGCAGTGCACATAAGGGGCACATATGTAATTGGCAACTGATGTTTTCTGCTTTCATCAAATACTGCAATGCCAAATCTCCATTCAACGTGCCAGTTAGATACACTTGGGAGCCTAACAGCAGCAAACACACAAGAGATGGGAATGAACAAACTGGAAAGAGTTATTAGCTTCTTGTGTTTCTATCACAACACAAATTACAGCACTGAGCGTGTCGCAATGGGAAAATCTGCTTGAAAGAGGAAGCGATCTTAAAAGAGAATAATTCATTTACTAACCTTCTGAAGTGTCCAATAGAATTTATAAATGAGGTTTCTACACAGACTTTTCTTTAAATAAGAAAAATAAAAAAATAGTTAAAAATGAATCATCTTTTTATAAGTGTCTTTTAGTCTAGTGCATATGAATTCCAACCCTTATTTGGGAAAAAATTCATAAAATAAGAAAATGTTCACTTTAATGTCTTAATGAAAAAGGAAACTGACAGATTGTCATGGTTATCACCAATTATGAATGCAATTTGTGATTGTGAAAACTGCAGTCAGCTGTAGTTACCAAAATGCCTTTGAAATATCTCATATAATTTTTAAGTTTACATTATAGAGTAACAATCACTATTGATCATAATAAGATCAACAGAACCAAGTTAATAAAATGGTCAGAACTTGCCCAGTACGATCAAGCATGATCCTTCTAAAGTGGACAGAACTTAAAAACAATGTTCATTAACAGCTAATGTCTACTTACAGCTCTTAACTCACCAGCTGAAAATGTGTGGGAATAAGTGTTCTACTGATTTGCCTTTTATGGGAACCACAGAATTCTCCCCCTGAAGACTGGGGTGGGAACTTTCCTAACTTTTCTGTCTGTGAGTTTGAGTATTTTCAGACTATTAAAGTTCTTGCCTGCGGTGGTGGCGCACGCCTTTAATCCCAGCACTCAGGAGGCAGAGGCAGGCAGATCTCTGTGAGTTCGAGGTCAGCCTGGTCTACAGAGCTAAGTTCCAAGACAGGCTCCAAAGCCACAGAGAAACCCTGTCTCGAAACATCCAAAAAAAAAAAAAAGAGAGAGAGAGAGAGAGAGAGAGAGAGAGAGAGAGAGAGAGAGTTCTTGCCTGATCCTCAAAGTGAGCACGTCTTAAAGTTCTTACACTGTGAGTGGAACGGGCCTGGGACACCAGCGGACACCAGCGGGTGTTAGGTCAGCTCATTACAACCACCCAAAGTTCTGAGGAATGCCCATGATTTGTGACTGATACAGTACTTCTGGGTAGAGAGTAGAGTGAGGGCAGCCTGGCCGTGTCCTGTTCAGGTCTTGATGATATGTCTGAACCATTCGCAGTGGACTCATTGCGTGAGACACTGAAGAGTGGGTCACAGGGGCACCAACTCGAGAAAGGCATAAATGAAAGGCTTGGGACTGGGGATATGGCTCAGTGTCTAAACTGCTCCTTGTGCAAACATGAGGACTCCCAGAACCCAAAGAAACTGGTGTGGAAGCATACATGTATGCTAGGCATTTCACTAGAGAGATCCCCGGGACACTTCGATGCGCGTGAGCATTCATAGTGACAAAAATGTTAAATATGTAACTGTCCTAAGTCACAAAACAGGAGAAATGCAGCACTAACCTTGTTATTTATTAACTCCCTTCGGAGTTTCTGGTTTTGTCCTATATATTAAAAAAATAATAAAAATATAAGCAGTTATTTTCAGAGAAGAACATATAATAACCACAATCATAAAGATTCACTCAGAGGGTACACTGACTCCCCTCCCCCACCTCCACAGTCACAGCACAGAAGTCAGACAGACTGACCAGAACATGCACCCAAATACACACGTGTGCTTGAAAGAAGTGCAGAGTGACTTTCACTCGCTGGCTGTTTCCCCAGTAAAGTAGTGTACCAGACCATGAAGACCTTGGACTTTGAGCAAGAAGCTTATAAAATGTGCCAATAGGTGAACGCGGCGGTATGACGTTATATACTTTGACATGGTTCTAGATTCTAGTAGACTGGGTTACATGTTTCTGATAGAGTTAAATGGTTTCCGTGTGTTGTACTGTCTGCTACAGGCATACTTATTAGGAGTAAAGATGAAGAAGAGGATGGGTGGAAAGCTGCTCAGGCCCAATACAACCTTAAAGGAAATGAGGCAGTGCAAGGGGAGACAGGGTCATCAGAAAATAAATTAGGTAAACAACCCTACCACGCATCAGAGATCCTTTTCATCTCAAAAGGGGCAAATTTTCTCCAAGTGGTCATCAATCAAACGGTGTCAAGCTGGTCACTGACTCTGGAAGACTCCCCAGGATCACGCGTGTAGGAAAGAAGTCCACTCCCAGCCGGTCTCAAGGCTTCTTTATTCTTACAATTGACCGCCACAAACCCTAACTGGGAGGCATGACCTGTTTAAAGGAGGCTGGCTGCTTGTTACCTTGTTAGCTAGAGAGTTGTCAGGACGATCGCGGGGCGGGTGACACAGGAAAACCGGGACAGAACATTTCAATTACCCCGATTTCCAGGAGGGGAAAGACAATATCCGCATTTCCGAGAGAGCCCCGGCACAGCGCTTTCCGAGCCTCCTGCGTCCCACCGCGCGCCCCGACCTTCCCAGGCGACTTGCAGCGCGCGGGGGATCCCGCGCTCCGCGGGCTCCGCTCCCTCCCCCGATTCGGCCGCGGGTGTGCGCGTGTCGCCGCGCCAGGCTGCGTGCGCGGAAGCCAGCGACGCGGTTGGCCAGCGCCGCCCTCGGGCTGCCCCCGCCCGGCCCCGACTCTGTCACCCGCTCGGAGGCCGCGGCGCCGCCTCCTGCCGCCGGGAGCGCGGCCTGCCCGGGAGGCGCTCGCTGCAGCCGCCCCGCGGCCCCGCTGCGCACACCGCCGCCCACCCACGGCCGCCGCGCGCCCCGCCCGCTCCCATTCTCGCTCATCATGACTGACTGCGAAGCTCTTGCGGAGCAGCTGCGGTGGCGCAGGCGGGAGCGGCGGGAGGAGTACTGAAAGACCGTGGCCGAACGAACGACCGGGAGTGGACATCGCGTCCGGACCAGCCCGCAGCTCCAGGTAACAGCGCGGTGCGCCCGGCTCGCACCGGCCTGGGCTGAGCGCCAGGTGACTGGCCCCGGCTCGGCCGCGGGCCCCGCGGAGGGGGGGGGGGACTCGCAAGGCGGGCGTGGGCACTGCGCGGCGTGGCCCACCCCTGCACCCTAGGGGTCTTCGTGGCAGAGTTGGTGCATTCGGGGCCGGGCCGGGGACCGTGCGGTGGGGCAGGCGGGAGCCCCAGGCAGCGCGCCGACCGCCGCTCGCCCTTGCCTCAGGAGCCCGCCACGCAGAGTGGACAGATTGCTTTGTGGCGCACCCCGGGCTCGCGGGGTCCGGGAGTTGGGTGTTCCTGTATGTGTTCTCGCGTCGAGTCACCGGGGCGGAAAGTGAGCCCCGCGTTGACAGCAGGTGGCTGCCAGGCCCCTCACCTTTTGGCTCCGGTCTTAGTACACAGTACAGCGCCCAGGGAGCGTGCGCAAAGGGGCGACTAAGGGATTTGTGAATGGCGCTACTGCGAAGAAGCTGCGCCTTGCTGATGCGAAGGGGCTAGTATCCCGAGTGAGAAGAAAGGCTATTTATGGCAGAGTTGCGGGGTTCCCTTCTGTGTACGCTCAGCCCCTCCCGCTCGGAACTAGAAGCAATTCTGTTTTTTACACTCTTGTAGAATATGCTGTATAAAACGAAAGAAGGAAGTCTGAAATTCACTCCAGTCTGTACAGGTAGAAGTGCTCTTTGGAGGTCATGGATCCCTATTTTGATGCTTTGGTGTCCTGATTGTCTGCTCCTCTTGACTCTTAAGGTCCCCACCAGCACCATACGTAGGACAGAAAACCTGCTTGCTTTGACTAATGAACCCACCCCAGTTGACCACTTTCCTCCTGAAATGTAACCCACACCCTCCATTCTTTCCTTCCCATAAGGGGTGTTCAAAAACTGTTCACCTATTTTATGTGAAGAGATGTTATTATAAAAGCCTCAGGGAGGATGTAGAAACAGCAGCTCAGTGAGTTTATGTCTGCAATGACCAACTCTTTAAAATATAGTTACCAGGGATGACCTAGAGATAGAATAATTAGTTTGCTTTGGTTTCTCTTTGTATTTGCTTTAAACAGGTGCCAATTACAGGGTCATAATTTGAAGCTTAGATGTGAGTTGGGACGCGTCTATCAGAGTACCTTAGCGAATTTGTTATGTCCTTTGAAGTAACAACCTGTGTTTTTATAGAAACTGCTGACTGGACTGTGATAGTGGGACTCATTAATTTAAGCTGAATTTTCCTTAAGACTGCCAAAAGTATAATTTTCTTTGGTCAGACTGAAATTCCATATTACAACTACACCTTCAGTAGTTACACACACACACAAAAAGTAAGTGGACATTATCAGGGTGACTTGTCATCGCCTGGTTTAATCAAAGAGACTGCCCAGAACTGCTGTGATTTAAAAAGGAGCTCCTATGGGTAAATCCCAGTGTGAGCAGCTTTCCCTAACAGCCGTGTACATCTGAATGGGGTTGAGGGTTCCTACTTAATGTGTGTATATGATTGCTAGCTTAAGGTGCCTTTGTAGTGCTGGAACGTCTCGTGTCAGGTGGACTCTGGCTATACCGCATTAAATCATTGAATTTAGTATCATAGCAAGGCTGTGTTACACAGCAACACTCTTGGGTCTGTTGGCACCTAGAGATAATTCCATTACTGTGATCCTGGAAGTCATATTTATGGAACATTGTTAATGTCTTTGGAATTGGCGACTGTTTCTTCTTTTAAAGCCATTCCTTATACTATGGACCGTTAGTTGATACCAAGTTCCCGAAGGAGAAAATGAAACATTTAGGACCTTGCAGTAGCAGTTATTTGCCTTCTTATTGTACTTTATTACTCATTATAGTACTCATATTAAAGGTCTGCATTGAGCAGTGGGTTGCCTTGAGTGTTGTGAGGCACACAGGGACTTTGTGCTGTGCATCCTGCCCTGCAGCAGCTTGTGAGCTGTTTGAAGGCATCTGATATGCATACTTAAATGCAGAGTTAACAGTCTATGATAGCTTGAGACTTCAGGTCTAGTGGGAAGCTCAGGGGTTCCGAGCATGACAGTAATATATCATGCTAGGATTTTGGACAGAAAAGTCTTTAGTGGGTAGGTTAAACTTTCTTAGTTAAGGGGTAGTATAATTAGTAAACTGTGGATCACAAGACCTACGATGCTGCATCTCCTGGACTAGAGAACAGCAAAGAAGACACAGGGTAGATTAAGTTTTCTTTGAAATAGAATTGGATAGTGCTAAATGTTCAACCAGTCGGGATACCCACTAAATAATATATTTACTCTTATATGTATTTGACAATTGGTGGATTTGTCGCATGGACTAGTTCTTATATGGACAAGTTCTTACATGGATACAAGTAACACTTTGGTTACTCTTACACCACTTGCCGTGACTATAGTACAGTGATACTGAGCCTGTGGGAACGTTTTCAGAATAGAAGCAAGACTTTCAAAGATCATTTTGCTGTTTCCTGGCAGGAGACTGTATTACTAAGAGTAGCATGACCTACCTGTGCTCTAAACTGTGTGTGTTTGTGTGTGTGTGTATACTGCAGTTTGTGCTATTGTATGAAATAGAATCTGAAGGTCTTTGTAAAGATGCAGCCTATATATAACGGCCATCTGTAAGGTGAGAGAGACTTTTTAGAGAACCATTGGATGCTTAAAATGTGTTTCTTCATTTTATAAACATAAAGAGAAACAGCAGAGTTGACTTGGCGCCTATCTCTTCAACATGACAGCACAGAAATTGTGACAGTAAAGAAATTGTGCAAACAATAGATATGACTTTCAATAACCAAATGGAGTTACGTTCAGGTTATCTGAATTAAAAGATTTTCATATATCTCTATGTTGTTGACAGTGCTTGGATAAGTCATTACAGAGCGAAAGCCTATTAAATCAGATTTCATATTCATGGGTGAGTGGAGTGATTTCCAGCACAGCCAGGCACAGATCAGTCCATCTCTCTGTCAGCTGATCTCTTTGCTGTTTGGTTGTGGATTAGATGTCACAGGTATATCATTTTGATAATGTAACCTAGGCTACTATATGACTGACAGCTTCTACTTGATTTCCCTGTTGGGTAGTGACAAAAGCTACTAGCTTTATAAAAAGGACATGAGCTTTTATCAGTGATATGATCATCATTTGCAAGAATGTCGGTTAACAATAAATAATGAAATATGGGGTTAAAAAAGCAGTGAGGACAAAAAGAGGCTGAGTGAAAACCTTAACGGAAAAAACACGCTTCATTTGGGAGCTGAGGGTAATTATGAAGATGTAAAATTGGCCATCTGCAACTTCATCAAATGACAAAATATTCTTGTTTATTTTTCAGTTTAAATATTTGCCTGTGTGATACATTAAAAGGAAACATGAGTGTGGTAATCTATGCTTACAAACATTAGCCATATGATATTAAAATTATTAAAAATATTTCTTCTTAGTCATTGAAAATAAAATTGTTTGGTCAAATTACTTAGATACTTAGAACTTTGAATATGGTTTTGGGTCTTATATTATTTATATTACATTCATAATTTAAAGAGTTTTATGAAATTAGAGTGGCTATTTACTTTAGGCATTTAGCTCCGGCATCACAAACATGGAGTTGTCTCAAAGCATTACTTCTGGAGGTAATTTAGATAAAATCTACATACCTTCCCTGAGTCGCATCCCTGTGTTTATTTCCTGGTGTCCTTTAGCACAGCTCCTGTCCTTCCTCTGCTCTGTCCTTTTCCCTCCCTTCTCTAATTCAGATATTAGGGTAGAAGTTACTTCTCTTGATTTTCTGTGCTAAGTCAATTGCCCTATTATGTATTCTTTTAGTTCTAGGTTCTTCTACTGTGTGCCACATACTGCAGCTTTTAATTTAGTGCATTTTGGAGTTAGCACAATATCGATCAGAAATTACTAGGGCCTAGCTCATATATATTCAGTAAATACTGGCTGACGAAATGAATGAATGAATAAATAAAACCTTTCTGGAAGCTGGAGAGGTGGCTCAGTGGTTAAAAGCACTTGTTGCTCTTATGCACGACTTGGGTTTCACTCCCAGCACCCATATTGTATCGCATAACTTCCATTCCAGGGGATCTAACACTCTCTTCTGACCTCTGCAGGTTTCTGCATGCACATATATACACTGAGGCACACATACATATGCATACAATAAAGGAAATAAATGTTTAAAAAGTAGAATTCAGAGACTGTACTCTCATTGTAAGGATGTCTTCCTCCAAAGAAAGACTTTCTTTAAACTTTAAAGATGAACGTACCTCTGGAACTTTGGCAAACACAGGCAGTTCGTTCTCTTATATTTTGAATACAGGGAGATATAATTTTATCAACAACAATAACAACATTTATGATGATCTGTATCCTTCTTTGTGATAAGCACTTTACATCTTGTGTCCTGTGTTTCTTTTAACCCTGCAATGTCAAATAGTAACAATGAAGAAGTTTTGTGTCTCTCCATGATGACCTGTGAGGTTATTTAGACTAGACTGACCTGTTTATAATATGATGCAAACTTATTAACTATCAAGCAGAGAAATTTTGAAAGAGTATATTTTCTGTTTTTTCTTAAAAACATTGTATCTATATAATATCCCTATGTATATATTAAACTATTATATTCCTTAGTGATATGTGTGTTTGTGTGGAGTCCAGAGAACAAACCCTGGGAGTGGGTTTTCTTCCTCCCCATGGGTTGTAAGACTTACTTGGCAGGCATTTTACCGTCTGGGAGGTATCACCACCAAAAGATGTATTTTCTTTTGGTTTCTAGCTGACTGGGCACAGCAACATTAGTGTATACTCATTGTTTCCTCTGTCTTCCATGCTGCTGCTCTTGCTTCTTGGGCAAGTGCGAGAGGTGATGGAAGATGTGAAAAACGGGTATTCCCAGACCTTCAGCACCATGCCTCTCAATTCTCTGACTCC